TGTATTGTGTGATACTGAGAAGACTCAGGTAAGTTTCAGGTGAGTATTATGTGATTGAATGGGTTGTATTGCATTGGTATGCACACGTTTATTTAGAGCTCATCACGACTGCACCCCGGTATTAGTGCTCCCGCCCAGGGCTAAGGCCAACATTCACATGATTGTTCACCTCCCGCACTGCATGCTCACCTTTGATCCAAGTCTGGTGCCAGCCTATAGTACAAACCATAATAGGGGTTCCGACTCGTAGGTGACCCGCTATTTATCGCACAACTTTCACGTGATCGTAGCACTTGAGAGTACATATTTATACCCAGCCTGTCGTATAGGTCACACTAAGTGACTCCGACGCGTGTGCTAGCCTAGACTGATGAGCTACAGGTTCAGTCGTACAAGTCAAGTTAGGTGACTCCGACTGACATACTATTTTATATTGGTTTCAGAACTGGCTTACACTTATTATTGCTGAGATATTTTGGCATGGCATGCTTCTATTTTCACTGCACTCACGCATTCGTTTTCGTACTTATGTAGCATTATTTTCTGAAAATTATACAGGTTTTAAGGCGAAGGGTTATAACGTTTTCAAAAGGTTTTTATTAAAACTTTATTTTCAGATCCACTCACCTTTATTTTTCGCCCCTCCAGGTTCTAGTAGCAGAGTTTTGGTACCGACGAGGATTACTGGCAAATCTTGGGGTAGACAATTACCATCAATGGTATAATTCTCACCCTATTTTACTGTGTTGTACTTATACTCTGTCATCACGTGTGAAATGAGCTCATACTAGCTCACCACACACTCTTATACATAGGCACTTTTAGGTTTAAATTTATTCACATCTTCCACATCACTACATTTTATGGCTTCGTCACATTCTAGGTGTCAGCCAACACAGCTCGATTTGGAGTCCTAATGGACATCCCGGGTCAGGGTGTGTCATGAATATAGTACATAATGATGTGTATTTGCTAATTGCATTGGCTTTGGTTCTACCAGTTGCTACTGCTTTAGTTGAGAGAGTTTGTTCCGCTATAAATATTGTGAAGACTATATTGCGTAACCGAATGGGAGATCAATGGTTGAGTGATATCATGATGGTTTATATTGAGAGCAATTTTCTTTCTTCCATTGACAATGAAGCTATAATGCGACATTTTCAAAATATGAAAAACGCGTCGGGAACTATTGTAACTTGTATTGTTATTTGTTCGATAAGTTTTGAATGATGGAACTATGGTTTAATTTTTAAGGTTATTATATGTCTAAGAAATGTTTGTAAACTTTTACATGTAACCCCCCGAAATATTTTTCCTGAATTCGCCACTGGTGCTATCCACACTACCTTTTTTATCTTTCACACATTTTTAAATTTTCGACTCTCGAATCAGTGGATCAAAATGATCAAAAGACATAAATTAACAAAAAATGCATGAGAGATAAACAGAGGTGTGTAAATAGCACCACTATTTATTTACTGGCTTTAGTACAATTGTACATGGTTCTCCTGCATGTCATGCCTCATGCTTATGCTGATGAGCATGAACGTCCAACCTGGTAACTACGTGCATGGCTAAAAGTGCTTCACAGGATAAACAAAGGGAAATTTAACGAAAAGCTCTTGGTATTGTTCACTTTAATGAAAAATTACATTTTTACACTAAAAAGTCAATCTTAGTACTATTCACTTTACCCTTTATTTTATTCTTATCGTTAAAACTCAAAGTTTTCAAGCTATTTTCATTAATTTTCCTATAAAAAAAAAAGAAAATTAATGAAAAATGCTTGAAAACTTTAAGTTTTAACGATAAGGACAAAATAAAGGTTAAAGTGAATGGTACCAGGATTGACTTTTTAGTGTAAAAATGTGGTTTTTCGTTAAAGTTCCCATAAATAAAATGTATCGACAACATTTGACCTAAAAAGTTAGAAAAAGTGATACCATGGCATGCTTCTATTTTCACTGCACTCACGCATTCGTTTTTGTACTTATGTAGTATTATTTTCTGAAAATTATACAGGTTTTACGACAAGGGGTTATAACGTTTTCAAAAGGTTTTTATTAAAACTTTATTTTCAGACCTACTCACCCTTATTTTTTGCCCCTCCAGGTTCTAGTAGCAGAGTTTTCGTACCGACGAGAATTACTGGCAAATCTTAGAGTAGACAATTACCATCAATGGTATAATTCTCACCTTATTTTACTGTATTGTACTTATGCTCTGTCATCACGTGTGAAATGGGCTCATTCCAGCTCACCGCACACTCTTGTACATATGCACTTTTAGGTTTAAATTTATTCACATCTTCCACATCATTACACTTTATGGATTCGTCACATTCCAGGTGTCGGCCAACACAGCTTGATTTGGAGTCCTAATGGACATCCCGGGTCGGGGTGTGTTAGGAATAGAGTACATAATCATGTGTATTTGCTAATTGCATTGGCTTTGGTTCTACCTGTTGCTACTGTTTTAGTGGAGAGAGCTTGTTCCGCTATAAATATTGTGAAGACTCTATTGCGTAACCGAATGGGAGATCAATGGTTGAGTGATATCATGATGGTTTATATTGAGAGCAATTTTCTTTCTTCCATTGACAATGAAGCTATAATGCGACATTTTCAAAATATGAAAACGCGTCGGGAACTATTGTAACTTGTATTGTTATTTGTTCGATAAGTTTTGAATGATGGAACTATGGTTTAATTTATATGTTTAAGAAATGGTTGTAAACTTTTACATGTGACCCCCGAAATATTTTTCCTGAATCCGCCACTGGTGCTATCCACACTACATTTTTTTATCTTTCACACATTTTTAAATTTTCAACTCTCGGATCAGTGAATCAAACTGATCAAAAGACATAAATTAACAAAAAATGCATGAGAGATAAACAGAGGTGTGTAAATAGCACCACCATTTATTTACTGGCTTTAGTACAATTGTACATGGTTCTCCTGAATGTCATGTCTCATGCATAAGCTGATGAGCATGAACGTCCAACTTGGTAACTACGTGCATGGCTAAAAGTGCTTCACAGGATAAACAAAGGGAAATTTAACCAAAAGTTATTGGTACTGTTCACTTTAATGAAAAATTACATTTTTACACTAAAAAGTCAATCTTAGTACTATTCACTTTACCCTTTATTTTATTCTTATCGTTAAAACTCAAAGTTTTCAAGCCATTTTAATTAATTTTCCTATAAAAAAATTAATGAAAAGGACTTGAAAACTTTGAGTTTTAACGATAAGGACAACATAAAGTAAACAGTACCAACAAAATTTCGTTAAAATTCCCATAAAAAAAACGACAACATTTGACATAAAAAGTTAGAAATATTTAGGCGTAATTGTGTTATTATGTTGCATGAGTATTCAATGCGTTTCTGATAAAAGCGATCGGGTGTTTTCTACGTAAACATTCTCAAATGGAGACCTAGTTGCCTTTTTATTTTGCATGGTAGATGCATGGATGTATTTTGTTAGTTTCATTATTTGTGCACTCTCTTTTCTCTCTCCATGCAATCATTATTTATTTATACAACTTTTAAATTGAATAAATCAAATAAAATCAAGAAAATAAGTGCTAAAAACATTAACGTTTAAGGCTAATAATAACAGATTAAAATCCATTTAATATAATTTGACCAATTAGTAAGATCTCAAAAGTTACTTCAAATCTTCAATACAAAGGAGCATAACTCAAAAGAAAGATAATTAAGAGCTTGTTTAGAAGTGTATTTTAAGCGTTTTTGGTGAAAATATTTTTAAACCAATCCTTAGTAAAAATATAAATAAATTCTTGAAAAGCACTTGAAGTGCTTCCTTTAAGAAGCATGTAAGGCCATCTCCAACCGATGGCTGGCCAGATGGCTCGTTTTAGCCCTCTGGCCCTCCAAGATCCTTCAAGATATTAATATTTTAATGAACAGTACATGACCATATTTGCCTCCGTTTCCAACCGAGGGCCAGAGGGCCAAAGGGCTCGTTTTAGCCCAGTCACAAAAAACCGTCTCCAACCGAGGGTCAAAGGGCCATAAGGCCAAACATAATTTATTATTTAAAAACTACAACTTAAAATAAAATGAAACAAATTTTGTGAAATAGAAGTTATAGGAAAAAATGGAATTTAAAAAAAATATGAAACAAATTTTGTAAAATAAAGTTATAGGAAAAAATAGAAGTTATATAAAAAAATTTGTAAATAAAAAATAATAATAAAACTATAAAAAAAAAATCAAATGCAACGGCTACTAGCCGTTGCATTTGAATTTTTTCTTAAGAAATTTATTTAGTATAAATGTATTACTGTCGGTTATAACCGACAGCAATACATTTATATTAAGTAATATAATGTATTCATGTCAGCTATAACCGATAGAAATAACAAAACATTAAAAAAAAATGGCTAGCCCCGGGCTGGCTGGCTGCATGCAGCCAGCCCTCCAGCCCTCCCAGATTCCAGAGCCCTCTGGCTTAGCACTTGGTTGGAGACGGTTTTCGGGTTATTTTCGACCCTCTAGCCCTCTGGACCCTTCGGTTGGAGATGGCCTAAGAAACTTGCAGGAAGCACTTCAACACTTCAAGTACTTTTTGAATCTAAAAAATATTTTCTGTAAATTGATATAATACTCCATGAATTAACAATTGAACATCCCTGCTTTTGAACAAGAAGGTTTGACTCATAAGCGATTCATGTTTTTTTTTTTTTTCCTGATATTTTTAAGGAGACAAAAAAAACATTTTGATCATGTAGATATTAATTAATTAATAGATAAAGGTCCTATGCGAAAAGGACTTAGGGCCATGTGACCAAAAAAAAAAAAAAAATCTATCCCACCAAAAATAAAAAATAAAAAAGCAATTTTCCAATTGGGATGTAATTTATGGAGGGAAAACCACAAAATCCCCCGCAAAAATAAAATTAAAAAAAAAAAAAAAAAAAGCAAGGGAAAGCTTTTGTCTTAAACCTTGCAAGCCCCAAGGCTTCCTGTCTCAATCAACAACTCTCTCTCTCTCTCTCTCTCTCTCCCCCCTCTGTGTCCGTCTCTCTTCTTCTTCCTCCCGTTAAACTCCTTCAATCCCTTTCCCAATTTCACAAAGCACCATGGCTGAATCGCTGAAGCTACTGGATTACGTGCCGTGCACGTGCTCGTGAGGGAGGCATCAGAATATCTCCTGTGTCTCTGCTTGCATTGACTGGGGCCTTCTTCAACCCATTGTCGCGGTTGGTGATCTGGTCAGTCCGTACACGTTCAAAGACATCACTGATTTCATATATCTATGTATGTATATATTTTTAAATAAATATTTTCTTTAATTTTTGGTTACAGGGTAGGGTTAGTTCTTGAGAGAGAAGCTTTCTAGCTGTTGGGTTTGTGTAATTAAGTTCAAAGCTGAAGTGGGTTTTCTGGGATTAAGGTGTACGGTGAGAGATGTTGAGATCTGGGAAGGTAAGGGGTGAGAGGGATAAGCAAATTGTTGTTCAGAAGAAAGGGGATGAGTTGAAGCAGGGAGGTTCGGATTCCGGCGGGGAGAAAACCCGGCATTTGGTTTCGGGTGGGGCGGGGGAATCTGAGAAAGAATTGGTGGGGGAAGGTGGAGAAGATGGTGATGTGGGTGGGAATGAAAATGGTGGAGCAACTGAGAGTGGGAAGAAGAGGTGTGTTGGTAACGGTGAAGAAATTGGTGATGATAAAAAGAGAGTGAAGGAAAAAGAGGCAGATGGTGAAGTGCGAATTTTTGGGCGGGTTTTGAAATCACAGTCAGCGGCGAATGGAGGGGGTGATAAGGAGGTGAATGATGGGGAACTGGTTGCGGAAAATAGAGAAAATGACGGGACTCAGAAACAATGTAGTGAGGTTAACAACAAAGGGAGGAAGGAAATGAAGGTAGATGGTAAAGTGCAAGCTATTGGTTGGGTTCTGCAGTCACAGTCTGCGGTGAATGGTGGGTATGATAAGGAAGTGAGTGATGGTGGTCTGGTTGAAGAAGGTAGAGAAAACGACGGGTCTCATAAACAACGTAGTGAGGTAAACAATGAATGGAGGAAGGAAATGGAGGTGGATGGTGCAGTGCAAGTTGTTGGTCGGGTTCTGCAGGCACAGTCAGCGGTGAATGGAGGGTGTGATAAGGATGTGAGTGATGGTGTTCTGGTTGCCGGAATTAGAGAAAGTGATGGGTCTGACAAGCAATGTAGTGAGGTAAAAGATGAAGGGGCTGATCTGTTGGGCCAGAGTGAAAATGTGGGAGTAGGTGAGATTGGGAAGAAGAGGAGGCGGGGTGATAATGGCGAAGAAATTGATGATGATGCTCTTGAGGAAAAAAAGGTGAAGGAAGATGAGGTGGATGGTAAAGTGCTAACTACAGTTAGGGTTCTTCGGTCACGAGTTGTGGTGAATGAGGGGTGTGATAAGGCAGGGAGTGATGGGTCTTGCAAGAAATCTTCCAAAGGGGGTGATCAGTTGGTTGAACGGTTTACAAAGAAGTTGAAAGGCAAGAGAGGGAGCCCACTCAAGGTTGAAAAGGAAAAAAGTGATGGTTCAGGTGCTGGGCCACATAAGATGAAGAATTTCAAACGCAAGCGTGGGAGACCTAAGAAGGTAGAAAAGGAACAAAGTGATCTGTCAGTTGGTCAGTTGAGAAAGGAAGAAAGTGATGGTTCGGGTGCTGGGCTACATAAGATGAAGATTTTGAAACGCAAGCGTGGGAGACCTAAGAAGGTAGAAAAGGAACAGAGTGATCTGTCAGTTGGTCAGTTGAGAAAGGAAGAAAGTGATGGTTCGGGTGCTGGGCAACAGAAGATGAAGAATTTGAAACGCAAGCGTGGGAGACCTAAGAAGGTAGAAAGGGAAGAGAGTGATCTGTCAGTTGGTTGGTTGAGAAAGGAAGAAAGTCATGGTTCGGGTGCTGGGCTACTGAAGATGAAGAATTTGAAACGTAAGCGTGGGAGACCTAAGAAGGTAGAAAAGGAGGAGAGTGATCTGTCAGTTGGTCGGTTGAGAAAGAAGTCAAAATTGAAGCACAAGAGATCACTTAAGGTGCAGAAGACTGATGTGGCTTTGAAAGGAAAGCTTGCTAAGGAAGGCAATATGGTTTTGAGATCGCAAGAAAGAATCAAATCGAGTATGACAACTAATGGTTCATATCTGGAAAGGAGGATTATTGGGAAAGAGTTGGATGTGAAGGCCTTTTCTCCAGCTAAAAGGGATAAAAAAGGAAATGATTTGGAGACTGAGGATAGTGAGGATGGGGAAGGAAGTAATGAACGGAAACAGAAACAGAAGGGAAATAAAGGACAGAAAAATAAGCAGAAGAGTCGGGATGGAGATTGCGCCAGAAGTAGGCAAAAACAGTTGGTGAGAGATAAGATAGTGGATCTAATTATGCGTGCAGGTTGGACCATTCAATATAGGCCTAGGAATGGCAAAGAGTACAAGGATGCAGTGTACGTAACTCCAGCAGGACAGACTCACTGGTCGGTCACCAAGGCTTACACAACTCTTAAAGCGCATTGTGAAAATGGTGAAAATAATTCCAAGTTTTGTAAGCCTGGCTTCAAATTTACTTTGATACCACCAGAGGAAATCGACATGCTAGCAAGGATACAAGTCGTGAAAAGGGTGGGGAAAAAGAAGGGGAAGAAGGGCAAAAATGGAATGGAGGGTGGAAAGAAGAAAAGGGGTGGGAATACAGTGGATGGAGTTACTGAAGAGAAAAAGAAAAAGAAATTGGGTAGGCCACTCAAAGGGAAACGTTTGCTTCTTGAAAAGGATGATTCAGCACGTGCAGCATGCAAGGGAAGGCGAAGTTTATATAAGACAAAAAATAGAAAGCGATGTGCTTTACTGGTTCGGAACTCTGAGAATGCCGATTCAGATGATGATGGCCATGTACTATATGACGGGAAAAGAACAGTTCTTGCCTGGATGATTGATTTGGGAACCCTATCACTTAATTCGAAGGTGAAGTACATGAACAGGAGAAAGACACAGGTGCTTCTTGAGGGTAACATTACAAGAGATGGAATTCATTGTGGTTGCTGTGGAGAAACAATCTCGATTTCGAAGTTTGTAACCCATGCCAAAAGTGATTACTCTGAGCCATTTAAACATATATATCTAGACTCAGGGTCTACCCTTTTGCAATGCCTGCTTGACTCATGGAATAGACAGGATGAATACGACCGTCGGGGATTCCATTTCGTGGGTGTCAACAGGGAAGACCCAAACGATGATACATGTGGAATCTGTGGAGATGGTGGGAACTTGATTTGTTGTGATGGCTGTCCATCAACATTCCATCAAAATTGTTTAGAGATAAAGGTACGTTTATAGTGCCAATTTAAAAATTGTTCTAAATACATGGATAAAGTGCTATTTAGATTAATTTAGAGTAGGCTGAAAGCTCTTAAGACATCTTGCTTTCCATCCAATTCGATATTTTTATCGGAATTAAGTGCTATTTCAATGTCTTTAGTATACTAAGAGGGGATAATTACTTGTTTTTGCCTTCAATGCTAAAGTTTATGTTACGTTGCATTTATTCTACAGTAGCATTTATGGAATTAAGAATTGATTGATATGCCTAGAAACTGAAAATTGTTTATGTTTCTGGTTTGTTTAAGAGCAGATGAGAACTCTATTCTTAATTTTTGCAGAAGTTCCCCTCAGGTGATTGGCATTGTGTATATTGTTCATGCAAATTTTGTGGGATGTTTGGCGGTAATATATGCGAAATCGATGGCAATGACAATGAAAATGTAGCTACATCAGCATTAATTACCTGCCATTTGTGTGAGGAAAAATGTACTAACTCTTCCTCCTATCCTTTTTCATCTTCCTGGGTTATCTAAATTTAGTACATTTGGCAAAATTTCATAGAAAATGTTTTCTTTTTTAGATCACAAATCCTGTATTCAGGCAAAGGATGCTGTAAATGATGATTCCAATGATCCATCCTTCTGCGGGAAGAATTGTCAAGAGGTATTACATTTGTGATCTATTGCTGTAATGTTAGCTTGGATTGCAGTATTTGTGTAGGCCTTGGTGCATGCCTCCGTAGTTTCATGTACTATTTATAGTAGTGAAATGATATTGTGCTGCATGCATTCGTGATCTGCATGCAACAAGGGCTAAAGGATTTGACAGTTTGTCTCTTAATGCTTCAGTTGTAGGAAGATTGCTTACTCTATTTTTAAGAGATGCTTACAAAGCATTATTTACGTATTTAGGAATTTTTAACAATGCATGCAGATTTAAATGTTGATTTGTTTATAAATCTGAGTTGTTTTCAATTTTCAGTTTTAAGTTTAATGAGATATATAAATTCTTTTGATCAATTTCTCTACCCATTTTGTATCGGCAGTATGTGATTAATAATGTTTTTGTCATGCCAGCTATTTGCGAGTCTTCAGATGCTTCTTGGAGTGAGGCAAGAAATCGAAGATGGATTTTCATTGACTCTGATTCACCGATCTGATACGAGCTCAATTTCTATTTGTGACACACCACAGATAGATGATTGTGATTCAAAGCTAATTGAATGCAATTCCAAGCTGGCTGTTGCATTTTTACTAATGGATGAGTGTTTTTTGCCTATGGTTGACCACAGAAGTGGAGTCAATTTGATTCATAATATTCTGTATAATCGTGGGTAAGCATACTTTAATCCGCAATTTTGTGTGTCTATGTGGATGCCAAACTACTTTTGATTCGTTTGGAATAGTATAATGTCTTTGTCTTGAAATAAGTACGATGGGTGTGCTGTATCACTGCAAATATATAATTCATGTTCATGATATATGATATTTCGAGTTCAAGGTGGTTGCTGTTGGGATTATGTACCTAGGAAAAGTTTTGGTGCTCGACCATATGAAAATCAATTTCTGTTTCTAATCGTGTATATCTACGTAATTTACTTTGTCCTTTTATCTTCTATGCCGCTATACTTTTTGCATTCAAACAAGTTTGAAGGAAGCTTTCATTCCACGTATTGCAAATTGTCTCTTCAACTTTTTGACATGTAGAAAAATATATACTTGCGTTACTTATTTTTTAATTTTCTATTATCAGGTCAAATTTTAGTAGACTGAATTATAGTGGTTTCTTGACTGCAATTCTAGAAAGAGGTGATGAGATCATATCAGCGGCATCCATCCGGTATGTTACTGCGAACATATCACAGTTAATCAATGCAGAATTTCTAGTTCTTCTGGGCAAGTTATTCTGAAAAATGTAGTTGACATGGACTGCAAACTAAGTCTTATTGTAGAAAATTTCAGCCAAATGAACAATAAATAAAAAAGAAACACTGAGCTGTACAGGTTGGTTTTTCTTGTATCGATTGATAGCTATGTTTTTTTATAAATGATGCCAAAACTTTTGGATGTCTCTCGGATTCTTTCTTCCAACCTTAACTTTAGTAATTAGCAGTCAGCACTGGTTTGGAATTCTAGTTTGCTTTGAATTTATTTTCTGCTCTTTTACCTCTCCCTCCAAATTTCTTAGAAGCAAAAGATAAGAATTCGAACTTTAGATTTTGTCTGCGTTCTGTTTTTGAATTCTGATACTTTCGCCTTCTCATTGCTAGAAGATTTACCGTTAAATATTGTGATCAGTCTTTAAAATCCTCTCCCCTTGCTATTTCTTTATTATTTATCCATAAACCCTCTCGTGATTGGGTTACATGTTGCTGTAATCCTAATCGAGTAGAATGGCTTTTACGAGTTTGTGTGCTTTTTGCATCTATGTTCTGACACTACGTTGCTGCTTGGTTGATCAGGATTCATGGGAACTATTTAGCAGAGATGCCATTTGTTGGGACCCGATATATGTACAGGCGTCAAGGAATGTGCCGTCGGCTTCTAATTGGAATTGAATCTGTATGTTCATTGCTAAATAGAAATACCTTGCTTTTTTTCTTGTCCTCACATTTGCTTACAAGTCAGTTTCTTCTTAAATTTGAAACTCTGTTTTTATATGGAGATATCTTATTAAGGCAAATCATGGGTTTTCATAATCTTGCAAAGAATCTTAACTTTCTAGTTCTTTTGTGCCATTTTTCTGATCCGTGATTAGGCTCTCAGCTCGTTGAATGTTGAAAGATTGGTTATACCTGCAATCTCAGAACTCAGAGAAACATGGACTTCTGTTTTTGGTTTTAAGCCCCTTGAAGAATCAAGCAAGCAGAGGATGAAGAACATGAACATATTGGTTTTCCCTGGTGTAGATATCTTAGAGAAGCCAGTGTCGAAGCACTTAACAGAAGCAAATATGATTCCCGCTGAAGGTATTTATGAAATCAGCAGAGACGAGCATGCATGTGTTTGGCACATCTTTCTGTCAGTTGTATCTTCTTGTTTTATAACTTACACTGAATTTGCTCTTGTAGGTGTGAGGTCCACTGAACTTGAGCATCAGCAACTCGAGCAAGAGGTTTTATGTGATATTAATGAGAAACGTTTGGTTGCGTCTGGAATTGAAGCATCTGCACCGTGTGGAAGTGAGGCAAGTGATGAACTTGCTGATGTTGAATCTGATACACAGCATCACTGTGGTGTTTCTCAGGATAATCTGGAGGAGAAAAGCAATACAATTATTATTCCTCCTCCATCAATGTGTGATATCCATGAACAAACTGAGGAGGTCAACCAGAGCTCTGCTTCAGTTCCTGATGTAGGGACAGTGGAAGTGGACACCCAACAAGACCAGCATATCATGCTCGAAGTCGAAAACAAATCTCTGACATCACATCATAGTAGTTCTGTTAGGAACCACAATTCTCATGATGAAAGATCCATTTGCCGCTCTACTGAAAATAATACCACCGAGCAGCAGCACATCGCACATGAAGTAAAGGTTTCCGATGAAATTACTGTCTGCCATGATTCAGCGACTACAACTGAGGCATCTCATGAGGCAAGCGACCTTAAGCATCAGGATTCTCTAAGTGTGCAGGTTGCAGGATCTATTTTCTGTCCGGATGGAAAGATGTCTGAGACTTGTGAAGCGGAATGTAACCATCCTTCTACTCAGCATACACCTGCAGTGATAGTTGAGGAGCATCCAGAATCTATCAAGTGTTATGGCTCTGAAATTCTGACTGGAACTAGTGAGGTCGCCAGTGATATACTTCACCCAACTCCCCTGTTGCCTCACCAGAAAGCAGATGAGCTTGAAGGTAACAGGCTCAACACTCATAAAGTTGCAGATGGGTTTGAAGGCAACGGGCTCAACACTCATAATGTTGCAGATGAGTTTAAAGGCAATGGGCTCAACACTCAAAAAGTCGACTCTGCTCTTACATGTGGACATGCCAAGTCCCCGGAGGTTACTGATTTGAATTTAACTCCCGAGGAGTCTCAGAACACAACATCCGTAAAGCAATCTGAACTCGATTCTCAGACAAGTCCCACACAGTGCAACTCGAGCAATACGCCTGTTGTGGCTCTTCACTGCGCATCCGGTGGGGGTACTTCGGGGGCGGTTATTCTATCAAATCAGGCTAGGTGATATCTTATCTCGAGACACTGACAGAAGTAAAGGCAGGAGGCTTTTTGGTAACAGCAGAGTCTCCAACCGAAAGAGTAGCAGAAGTATTTTGGCAAAGGGTTGAAAACTGTTTTTATCGCTTGTTAGAAAGCAACAGTTTTTGGTTCCTTCGACTTACGGAGAACTTGGGAGTAAATATATAGGTTTTTTTGGGAAATGATTCATGCACGCCTCTTTTCACCTTCTGCACGCCTCTAGTTTTTTCTAGCCACTGGATTGAATAAATCAATGGCTCGATTTTGGAGAACCGTGCAGAAGCTGCGAAAGGGTGTTCATCAATCGCTCCCTTTTTTTTTAAGCATTTTATGGCATTTGGGCAGTGGCAGGATAAAAGTTCCCTTTGGTGGGTTGTATAATTTTTGGCCTCCGAGTGCAGTGACGTTCGAGGAATCATACAACCGATGCCATATAGCGGGGTAAGGTTTTGTTGTTGTTTGGTCTTCATTGTATTATCAAAACATGCGTTGCCTCAACCCTGAAAAACCACCCTATCATTTTTGTATAGATCTCTTGCGATGCATTGTTGAAGTTTGCTTTTGTTGGTATTAGTAAAAACTTGTAGTAATGAGAGATTCTTTGGCGCCACCGGTTGTATGCGGTCATTTCAATTATTCACGCGACGTGACACATGATTATGTATAACTAATTAAACATTAATGTGGTAACATTGGCTCTGATGAAAAATTCTTCAAATCAATAGTGATATGTAGTGAGTATCTTGGTACATATTTTTTCTCCTCTTCGTCCTTTCTCGTGTCTCTTTTTGTGCACTCGAGTTTGAATCTTTATTCTTATAATCAAGATTAGTTTATGATAACATATTACTTCTATTAAGAAAAAAAACTTGGATTAACAAAAACCCTTATGGAACAAGCTATCTTTTATACAAAATAATATTTTAAATTACTTTAATTTACGTGGAAAATGAATTTCAATTTCGTGATCAAGGAGAAAGATTGAATTTGACTAAGTACACAGCCACAGTAACGTCCTTGTCTAATAACACAGTCATGTTAAGTGAGATCAATAAGTAACATTGTGTTAATAGACCGGGATGCCACCGTATCCCATAATCAAGAGGATGGACATGCTACCCGAATTAACTAACATAACTCACGTTTGCAATAAGTCGTAGCCTTAGTTCAACTAAGCTTGAGAAGAAAAAGAACGACAATAAAATATGAAATGGGCTTAAAATATTTACATTGGCCCAGACCCACAATTGGTGGGTATATAAAATCATTTACAAAACCCACGGCGCCCATTTTTAGGGTTTCGCTCAGCTTCGCTTCCGTCTTCACGGCACACACACAGAGGCGTAGAGCTGCTCCAAAAGCTTCAAGATCCGAAACCCTAGCCATGGTCATCCTTCTCTCTCTGTCTCTCTCCTTGCAAACCCTAATATTTAAAATGTTTGATAATATATGAAATTAATTTGTGTGTATGTGAATTGGAATTTGCTGCAGTCTCTGGTAGCGAACGAAGAGTTCCAGCACATTCTGCGTGTGCTGAACACGAATGTGGACGGGAAGCAGAAGATTATGTTTGCCCTGACCTCCATCAAAGGTATCGGCCGCCGTTTCGCCAACATTGTCTGCAAGAAGGCAGACGTCGACATGAACAAGAGGTGCCCTTTCTCTTCAACTCCCCTTCTCCAATTTCGTCTGATTTTATGTGGGTATTGGAAATTGAGTTGCTTTTCCGTGCCATTAGAATTTAATGGAAAAACGAAGACTTAGAAGTGGTTTTTTATGATAAAACTCTTAAGTGCTTCCTGGAAAAACACATAGAAGTGCTTCTTGAAGAAGCATATAGCAGGTGCATCTCCAGAGTGCTTGTACGACCCAGAATCTCTTTCGAAACTGTACTGCCAATCATAGGTAGAAGCTCTTTTTGTTGTCAGAAAGCACTTTTAGGCCAGAAGCAGTCCCAAACAGACTATTAGATTAGGTTTAGTGAAACTTTGGTTGTGCATATGCTTATGGTTTCATTCTAAGCACTTTTATAACCGTATTATTGGGGTGCTTATTGTTTTTGCTAGACACTGTAATCTTCTGACAAATTATGGGAGTTTATTTTTCCCTTTGAATTGTAGAATTCGTATACATGCATAAGTTCAGAGTCTGAATTTAGTTGTGGTAGTGAAAGTGCTTGTGGAGAAGCTAGTTTATTGTTGGAAGACTTATTTCAGCTTTGGAAATTATGGGTTTAATGTAAGTGATTCATTGCAGAGCTGGTGAACTGTCTGCTGCGGAGCTTGATACCCTCATGACGATTGTTGCGAATCCTCGCCAGTTCAAAATTCCGGACTGGTTTTTGAACAGGAAGAAGGATTACAAGGATGGGAGGTACTCTCAAGTTGTTTCCAATGCACTGGACATGAAGCTGAGGGATGACCTTGAGCGCTTGAAGAAGATCAGGTTTGTTATTTACTATTAAGTAATTGTCACCATTTGTGTGCGCTTGGCAGTTGATTTTGATTGGGTTCTTATATTAAGCTGAGGCCCGAGGGACAACCTTGGCTTGCTTTAGTAGCTTTTTAAATGTTATTGAGTTGATAATTGTCTGTACTGTGGCAGAAACCACCGTGGTCTCCGTCACTACTGGGGTCTCCGGGTGCGTGGGCAGCACACCAAGACCACCGGTCGCAGAGGAAAGACCGTTGGTGTCTCCAAGAAGCGATAGAGTCTGCCTTCGCATTTTCCATTTCTTAAGCTCTTTGCGTATGTTTACATGTTAGCTTGAGAAATTTTTGCTTCTTGAGTACATCTGAGAATTTTATTGAATTTCTGAAAATACCATTTTGGATTTGTTTCTTGGATTTATTTTCTTATTTAAACCGAAGGCATGTTTTCGTTAATTGTAAGTTCACTAATTTCCATAGCGAAGGTGTTCTAGCTATTCTCAAATGCTCCGTTTCTTGTTTTTCTTATCTCCCTTGCATTTTTGCCGCCCTTGGTAATTTAATCTTCATGAAACCGCCATATAATTGGTTGTATGCGTCAATTATCTGATTTCTCTTATCATGTGGCTGGTCATACGATGAGAATTGAAAGAGAGATGCCCGTAAGGGCGGCCCTTGGCTTGGGTTTGACCTTGGTCTGTAGTACGCTGTTCATTTTATAGCTGTTGTGTATGTATGTTGGATCACTGTGGTTAAGAGTCCTGGTCTATCTTGAAGACATCTGAAGCCCTTAACATAAAATCAGTGGGCACGGCGTGGCCCTAAAATTTTCTATATTCTGGCTTGGCCCCAAAAAAAAAAAAAAAAACTCATTACTATTATGTTCGTTTGCTGGTTGCTGGGTTGGAGAGATTTTCTTGCAACTAAAATAGTCTTGGCGGCATACTTGCATGTATTCGTAAAGTTCCCAACCCTTCCAAATGATGCTTGCTGCATAGTGCATTTGGTTACAAGAGAGTTTCTCTTCTCTAGACGAGATTGGTAACGAGTCTTGTCCATTCCAATCCAATAGGGTTAGCTGCTCTTAGCCAACTGGGTTACAAACCCCGTTGGTTTACAACAATTCTTTTTTGGAAAGGTAGTAAGTGCAATATACTTTAAATTTTGATATCAAAAGTGGAGAATAAATTGATGTGCTTGTAATGTTTTAATCTCAGTTCTTAATAATAAATTCAACAGTAAGTGGCGATAATGATAATGATACTATGTTAACACGGGGTCCTTTCCGACCCCAACCGGCCCAAGGAGCACATGCCCAAAGAACATTGGTCCAAGGAATACATGCCCAAAGAAAGAGGCCAAGACCTGACAAGATTAGGAGGACAATTCCGAGCGCTACAAAAGATTGTTTGGTGGTCTAGATTGTCTATCAGCAATGAGGCTAAATGCTTTCTCAAAAAGTACTTTCCGACCATCGAGAGCAAGTTGATGTACTGACAACTTTATAGCATGAAGTCCCAGGACATAGGAACATGCCTACTCAGACGTCAACTCTAGTCATGTGGCGTCTATCCAAGTGAACGGAACCCTAAAAAGGAACATAAAAGGTTGACATATAGGGCGCTTGGGTGCAGATTCACCAACTTTAGAGCTGAGCAAGGCGCTTGATATGCGTTGTGCGTTGTCCCAAGAAAGCATGCAAGTAAACCTGAATGGATGTCACTTCGTTGTCATGTGCTGTAAAGAATCAAGGGGCAGCTAACACGTCAAGTCTACGTATTCGGTGCATTAAATGCAAAGGTAGAGAAAGCCTGAATCTAGGGACTTGTAGCTCATTGAGTGCCTATACAAAGAGGATGAATACTCTTTATAACAGGTCGGACAAATTGAGAGAAAATAGATAGTGTTAATTTGAGCGCTATTTATAACCTCTAATTCAAAATAAACGAGAAATTCAGTTTACGTAGTCAATTTGAGGGGTGAATCGCTTAAACATCATTGTTCAGTTCTTATTATTCTAAAGCCTGAGCCTATCAAGAATTGACACACGACCATTCTGATTTTTGTTGACCTCACCAATTTTGAGCGAACAAATAATAATAATACGATGCATCTCGTCTGTCCTCATCCTTCAAGTTGAAGCATAAACAAAGATATTTGGGCAGAAACATTGAGGTAAAAAAAAGAGAGACAAAAACAAGATTCCCTGATTTCTTTCTGCGCTTAGAAGATTTTTTTTTATCGATTTACAATAATTTGTTTGAATGCAAAGAAATTCTCAAGACTTTGCCAATCAAACAAACCCACCTCTGAGTCTGCACCCCCTCTCTTATTCATATAATTTGTCTCCAGATGCATCGTTTAATTAATTTAATCCCCACCCCCACCCCCTAAATCAGCATCAGTTACTGCCAATTAGACTTCGTGATTAGAGTTCATAATGTTCTTAATTAAGGATTAACTTCTGATTGAGTATGAAACCGTGGGCGAACAGAGGATTTGCTCTTTAAAAGTTAGAAGTTCAAGTACGGACCTCCTTTTGTGGTTTGCGTTGGATGGAAGAGTATTTCAATATTTAGTGTGGCTTATATGATTTGTGATATATTCGGTTTAATGAATATTATTTTGGAAGCAATCCTATTAGTTAAATTATGATATTTGGTTATCTATTTTGTTATTGTGATGGGTGATAATTAATTATAGGCTTCATTAGGAAATGGATCCTCTCGATTGCCTATAATAGTGCACATACTCATCTAAGGTTTACACGAATGAAAATTAGTAGTAGGGTTTTAACGTGCAAGCAAGGCCATAGAAAAACCTGATTTCCTTCACATTGAAGGCTCAGCTAGGGTCGCTCAATATAAATATTGTAGATAACTTTGATGACTAATTATCAATGTACGTATTTTACATATTTTGCATTAATCGTTTGTGAAAATCATGGAGTTCAAAATCTTCACTCATGTATTGGGTCTTATGGCTTTACCCAATTTGAAGTTTACATTGGATTCTTAATTTAGGAAGGCTAAAAGGGAAGTGTTTTAAATTTATTTTTCTCTTCTCACAAATTTTCTCTCTTTTCTTTTGGTTGAATTTTTTTTCTCGTTTTTTATCTCTTGATTCTCCGTCAGTTGTTCAGTTCAAACATTAGAAATATTAGTGTATAAAAGGAAAAGTTTTTGTGGAAATGAGAATGCAGAAATCATCTCTTTCTTATTTTACTTTGTGGGAATTAATGGATTTATGAGAAAAAAGGATCATGTTGCTTAAACGTGAAGTGTGAGTCCACATCAAAGCATATCAATATTAAGAAGGGAACTTTAACGAAAAGCTCCCGGTACTGTTCACTTTAACGAAAAACCACATTTTTACACTAAAAAGTCAATCCTGGTACTATTCACTTTACCCTTTATTTTGTCCTTATCATTAAAACTCAAAGTTTTCAAGCCATTTTCATTAGTTTTCCTTATTAAGAAATGTTAGCCAGCAGTTATATAAGGTGATGGGAACTAAACTTGGATCTGGCTCCTCTCTACTCTACTCGGGAACCTTCCACCAATGGACAAATGTTTACATATTTTATAATACAGATGCTTTTTCTTCAAAAATTACCTAACACATGCTTATCCTAAACAAGTATAAATGATAGCAATGACATGTTTGTTTGTCTTTTAACAAAATGTTTTAGAAAGTAAAATCACTCTTTTCAAACTCTAGTGTAAGGGGGAGACATACTTATCTGGCCAACTTGTTTTAGAGTTAATGCATATTTATCAACATGTAAATTAGATTAGATGATGGAGTGGATCCGAAATTATATTGAAATGCGCAAATTCGATAACAAAATCTAAACTTTGCGTATTTGAGTTTTGATATCTACTTTGGGTTCATGACTTCTCGTTTTGAAGAAAAAACGCTACGAGTCTAACTCATAACTACGCCTTGACATTTAGACTTTTAAATATCATGCTGCACTGCATGTCGTTTTGTTACTTTCCGAGTTGGTTATCTATTTGTACTTGTTGAAAGTCTAGGGCTACGAGGCAATGTATAAGCATCTCTTATAAAGTCTAGGGTTCGTAATCTTTCATATTATTTAATTAAATACTTTCACTTTTTATCAAATTTTCATGTAAATTCCAATTTTTCTTGTGCCTTAAGGTTATCGTTGAATGCTTTATTTTATTTTATTTATTTTTTATTTTATTTTTATCATGCTACTTTATAAAGTAAAATTCATTTTAATTGTTATAAAACCAATCTCTCTATTTCATTAATTATATGGACTTATGGAGGGTGCAGCATGGAGCCAAAGTAGTTGGACTTGAACATGCATGGTTGCGTCTATGCATACCACAAAAGGCAAAAAGAGAAGCAGTCGGCCCCCTCATCACATGCTTTTATATGGATACAAGTTAAGTGCAATGCTATTTTCTACTAACGTGCTGCCATATACACACAGAGAGGCCAACTTAACCTAATAGCCATAGTTAGCCAAAAAAGTACCGGAAGCAGGCTTGCAGGCTTTATAGGTTGAACACATGAACTCTCATTGTCACACCTTCAACTGAAGGTGTGTAAGATGTTGAACTTGGTGAATAGTGAGTACCACTGTAACTCTGTATCCACATGTTTAAGTTGGACCATGATCCACATTTCCCAAGAAGTTTAACTTTATCATTAGCTTTCAACAATAATTGGATGTAGTACTTTATATAGTGTTATATACTCGTGGTGCAATTTGCGCATATTTTTGTCGTCTAAATTGAATAAATAAATAAAGAAAAAAAAACTTTATTGTTTATTTTTATTGTCTAAATTATTTATTAATAAAATCTTTTTTGTCAACCAAATAATAATGAAAAGACTATGTAGTCTTCTATCACATTAAAAAAAAATTGATGATCAATAATGTAATTTTACAAAACCAAATTTTGCTGTTTTTATTGAAACACGTAGACATATGGTGGTTTAGATTAATAAAACAACAAAAAATATATATAAACTAACTAGTCAATGTTATAGATTTTTGGTGAGAAAATTAGGCAATGGTCATGTGCCAAAATTCATTTTCCTAACAACTCGGAAATATACACATGGAAGTTGAACTAACTAGCTTCAAACATTTAATCAAATCAGTCCTGCTCTCCTAATGTCTTCATTTTGACGGTCTGTAAGGACCAAATGCATATTAGCCACAATATTGTATTAGTTTAGATCTAAAATATTAAAATATTTGACAATTTAATAAAGAAAACCAAACCAATTTAATGATGTGATAATAAGCATGTTAATCAATACTTAAGTAATAATTTATTTATTAACAACTATATCTTATGGTTTACAAAATATAATTTAAATAGAAAGTTTCCCTAACATTGCACTTAATCAAAACATACAATTGAAATGTAAATTTTTGGGTACATCACAGAGTTCAAACCATGCTATAGCCTATTCTTATTCATCATCTTATATGGTTCATTCTTGGACTAATCTCAACATTAAAAATAATACTAGATCATGCTTTATATATTTGACGGATTATTGTCGATTTAGTGTCCCAGTTCCAGTTCCCTTTTGGATAAAATTTAACAACCAGTCAGTCATATATACAGCTAAAAACAGCTAAGCCTAGAAACAAGGACAAGGGCCAGATACTGGAGAAGAAGAAAATGAGGGACAAGATTCAATAAGATTTGTCGTTGTGATTGAAAACAACAAAAAAAAGATGGACCGATCGACTTAAATATTATACATAATAACAAATTCAGATATTTTTTAATTTCTACTAAATATTGACAAATAATGAAGTCAATATTATAACCGTTTAATTACTAACTAGACGCACCGTGAAACCTCACAAACGCCGGCGGTGAACTCCGGTTCTAATTCAATGCGGGCGGCGTGAAACCTCGCAAACGCCAGCGGTGAACTCCGGTTCTAATTCAATGCGGGCGCCTCCGCAGGGAGATGGCATGAGGCTGACGAGAAGATCGGCGAAAGCGCCGATAATAAACTTGTGAGTGCTCTTAGGGTTCAGCGCAAGATAGCACAGGAGGAGCTCATGCAAAAACTCCCAGTTGGATTTCTTCTTCACGTCCTCCGAATCTGGCGTTCTCTCACGCGCCTCCACCATCTCCTGCATGGACCGCAGGAAGTCCCGATATGGATCGGGGGAAAATGTGGGGACCGCCACGCTGTGGTTGATGAAGAGCTTGCGGTCTTCGGTCTCGGAGGTTGATGTTTTGGAGGATGATGAGGTGGCGGCAAATGACGATTGGTCGACAATGGAGTTGGAGAGGCCGGGAGAGGAGAAGAAGAAGCGTCGGGAGGCAAAGGCGGTGGCAAAGTCGGGGGCAGGGGCATCGGTGTCGGAGTAGTCGTCGGGGGTGGAGAGGAGGGAAGAGCTGAGGGATTTTGAGGTGGTGGTGGTGGAGTCGAACAGCGTGGATTTGTCGTCGTAGAGGGAGTTGAAGTTTTTAATCATGGACGTTGATGTGGATGCGGTGGCGGTGGCGGTGGCGGTGGAGGTTGGTAATGGACGGCTGTGATCGTTGTCATCTAGGGTTGTACTCATTGGTGGCCGTCGGATCTTTGTGAAGCAGAGATTTAGGTTTCTTCCCAGTGTGTTTTGCATTTTTTCTCACAATTTAGAAGTGACTGCAGAGGAGAGAGAGAGAAAGCGTGTGTGAGAACATTGTGTGAAGTCTTTATATATAGTTGGTGCCTTGGTGGTGATGTAACTTGTAGTTTGGGTTCAAAGCGGCGACTGGACAGCCGTAAGAAGACTCTATAAGCTTGGAGAAATTTTTTCATGTAATTAGAACACAAGTCGGTACGACACGTGTCATAATATAAGTAAAGCGATGAGTATTTTTTAATGTGTTTTCATTTGTATCATGAAACCATTAGATTCATATCAAACCGCGAGCCATCTGTTAAACCGTCAAAAAGTAAAATGAAAATTTTAGTAATTTCTTATAGAGTTCACGTAAAACCTTCGCTTGTCGTACTTCCCCAGCTTCCTCTCTCCTTTTATTAAGTACATTTTAGCAGTAGTTTCGGTTCATGTTTTTCTTGCATCGAAAATGGATTAAATTTGTTGTTGTGACTGTGATGCTATCATCTTACGTTTCAAGTTATAGTATGTGTACTTATTTGTTATATATATAATTAATATCAATCATTTCGCCTTTGATACTGTAATTCTTTCGTAGCATATAAACAACATGAAATTGTGACAGATGTATTTGAGGAGGATGGAGGAGTACTAGGTGGCATGTATTGAAAATTGAGGAGCTTTCACATCATGGGATGGGAGAAATTATCTGTTTCAAGTTGAGATAACGCAGATCAGCTACTTGAGGAAGAAAGAGATTGATCAACAACGCTTGGATTTCCTTATCACTTTTTTGATCCTCCAATTAGGACCTCTCATATTACGGGGTCCCATTTTTGTAGTAAACTTTCCTGCAACACAGCCTCATTTGTCAATTATCTTTTTTCTTTCTCTGCCCCTTTATCGTGTAGTAATGTTCTTTCGATGTGAACATGTAACGTATAATATGTATATTCTAAATATACATGCAATGTTCAAATGTTCTAAACTGCATTAATTTAATGATCGAGAAAATTCAAATTTGCATGCAAGTGGGATAACATTGTTTGGGCGAACTCTTTTGTTGTTGTATAATATTAGTAAGGACTGTAGCAAAAACGAGCGAGGTATAAGATCATCGAAAGGACCATGTATTCATCATATAAAACCTTATATATTTTCTTGTATATTTCATTGTTTCTCCCTTTTTGGTCCTAGAATACGGAGGTCTCATAAGATAAATATAGTATCCCTACGAGATCTTTTTATCTCATTTTTGCTTACAATAGAACGGAATTCTTGCTAAGAAAAGGCTTGTGATGTTATAATTAATTATTTAATTAGTTTTTGTGCTAAGTTTGAAGAAAAATATTGAGTGAAGTTGAGGATTTTAAGGAGGGAAATCGGGGGGTACGGACTCACATATGGGTGTAACGAATGGTCTAACTTCAAACCAAATCTCAAAATAGGGCAGACACCATGCACATGGTGGGTGACACATTGAGTCACAGAACCAAATACTGTATTGCGTAAATTCGTGTTCCAAAACCCTATCCGCCATTCTGGTAGCAATTTACATTTAACCCCTTTTTACGAACAAGAAGAAATCTAGCTAGCTCTTTCCTCTTGTCAATATCCATATTATTAGCTTCTCTTTCGACGGTCGGTACAATGTGCAACCTGCTATCCGTGGCCTGAGCATGAAGATCCATGATGATAGATGCATGCAACACAGAAAAGTTGTGTCTAAAAAAGAAATACTTTCACCATTTTTTCAACAGGAGAGAAGGACATTGCACTGCCAGAAAACAAAACTAGCCGTGTATGAATGATCAACATCACCTGAGGTTTGTACACGATCACTAGTAAAAAGTTAACTATTAGTGTTACATTAGTTGGCCGGTCAGTGGTCACTTTTTAATTTTTTTTTAATTTAGTTAAAAGTAATGCTAAGTAGATCGACTTTTCAAATTGAATTTATAAATTATATGATGTGTGACAAATAAATAATAAGTATATTTATCAACACTTAAATAATAATTTAATTATTTCCAACCATGTCATGTGTTTTACAGAATTCGGTTTAAAATTTTGATTTCCCTAGCTTTACATGTGTAGATTATTATTTTACCCGAAATATAAATATTTGACATTTTGTTTGTTTAATAACCATAAATGGCTTTGCTTCCACAATTAGGATAACTGACCACTTGCTTAAACTTCTCCAAATCTCATGTCTTTAATTTCAGAGTTCCCCGAGGAATACCATAGACCCTACTAGGGTTTATTATTCATATATGGATAAAATTAAGTTACAATGACGATCAAATTCAGAATTTACTGCATGTTACCTAATATTTATTAGATTTAACTGCAGTTACTTTTCTTATATATATTCATTTTCCGTCAACACATATTCTTACTTCTGTCAGTTAATTGGGTTAAATATAATTCGAGTCAAAATAATTGATATGAACCCCTCTTTCCTTTTCCTTTCTGCATTCTGACCTTATGAGGTGTGGTGGTGTTGACCCTAAAAACTACAAAGCCTACGTGGCGCGCAGGCCGAGTAATTAATGAGCTAACTACGTCCTTCGGTGAATGCGGGGCGTGCCAACTCGTCGGCCGAGCTCGGCCGAGGAGTAAATTTGTTGATGTTGCGTTCGGTGCGCGGTTGACTTCTGCGTCTTGCGATTGCGGCCGAGAAAGGAACGTGTCTCGGCCTCTTGGGTCCTCGAACCTGAAGACAAGGTTACTATTCTTACGAAGTTCACGAATCGTCGTCGTCGGACTCGGTCACAGTGATGGTATTCGTCAGAGTAAACTCTCGCCGAATTGACACCAGAGTATAAGGGCACAAGTACTCAAAGCGAATGTAAGTCTTGATAATGAACGTGGTTCGGCCGTTGGAAATGCCGAACTCTAAATCCCACCTGTGAGTATCCAATCATGAACAACCTCGGCGTGCAATGTGCCGAGCCTAATGTAACGCCTTACTTTGCCGAGAAAGCTAATAAGACGACCTCAATCAATAAGGATTCAGAAATCCTTCTCGACTGAGACTTGGATAGATAACCAACCGTCCTCGCCGCAGTGCTGTTGATGCCAACGGAAGATACTGCGAGACCGACTGATTCTACGATGACAGAGCTATCTATGCCGACTTAAGATGTCACCGGTTGCTTTCACAGTGCTGTTGATGCCAACGGAAGATGTGTCAGCGAACAAGGAAAATAAAAATCTCAAGTTGTTAAGAGAGTTTGCGCAGGGCAATTGTGTGTTGAGTTGAAGGGCTTTTCCGTTGCTGAATGTCTTGTATTTATAGTAGCAGAACACCGAGCCCGAATTCCAATCCTATTCGAACTAGGTTTCCTTCTCCGGATTAACATTACCTCGATCAGTCCTATCTCTGCTAGGACTACGAATCCAGTCCTTAAATGAGCCGGATTCGCTTTCTAGTTTACTGATCTCGTCAAGAGTCCCTATTGTATTAGGACTCGACTTGCATTCTGATTTAACCGACCTAGGCTTGGAAACCCATGAGCTGAGCGCTCCATGACCCTTTTGCCGTACGGCTTCCCGGGCCGAGAGTGATTCCTCCCTCGGCCCAAACTGCTATTTTGGGCCCAAACATTGCCCCCTCGCTTCTGAGGTCCTCGGCCTGAAACCTTCGGCCGAGTTTCGGCCTTGAAGAAGCGAATCTACCACTCAGAATCCTAATACCCGAGTTCCAAGGCGCATTTATTGAACACGATCGCACGATCTTGATCCTGCTAAACCACTCGCCGCGTGGCATCCTCTAACATGGCCAATCCCCAATAATGACGTCTGAAGCGTGCGCCTGCCCGAACCGTCTTGCCATTATGACCACTATCTCAATCCGCGAGCCACTACCTTAGTCCGTGAGCCCACTTGTCATCATGCAGGCGTCGAACCGTCTTCCGTCATTAATTTCGCCGTCACACGCGATCGTGCGCCTCCAACATCTGAGACCTTCGGTCTTCTCACCTGCATTTCCCAAATGTTCATCATGATCCACGATTCATTTGGTCTATTTTGCCCTTTGTTTTGAATTTCGAACGATTGCTCTTCCCCCCACAACTCTATAAATACCGAAATGCCCTCATTCGTACTTTACGCTCTCAAACTTTCTGAACTCCTCTGCCATTGCTTTCCAGTACATTTCTCCATTCCAAGTCTTCGTCTTAAATCCCCAACCCAGAAAACCCTTTTACTCCGTGCTTCTTTCTTACAAATGGCGTCCTTCATCTCCAAGCTTTCCAGGGAATGTGACCAGCACCAGAAGATTGTTGATCGGAGCTCGATCAAGACCATACGATTTGAAAACGACATGAGCACTCAGTACCAAATCCTGGGTCCTCTCTTCAAGGCTACAATACCGTCGACTATCATCGGCCTTCTACAAGAGCACTGCCTAACACCTCTGCTTCAAGGGTTTGAATGGTCGCGATGGGATGCGGCGAAGCCCCAGGGCTCCTGGCCCTCGACGACCACAACCTGGGCAACCTGGGTTGTTCGAATGGAACGACTCTTTGGCGAGCAATGGAAAGCCCTCGGCATCTACGACGCCATCCTCCTTTCGTCCATGGAAATCGTCCTTGACAAGGAGCTTCTCCTAGCCGCTCTGTGCTTCTGGTGCTCGGCCACCAACACAATGGTTCTTCCTCTGGGTCCCATTGGTCCCACCATCCTGGATATCACTGCCATTCTGGGGACTTCGGCAACCGGGATCCTTGTCGACGCGACACTTTCTGGGCACCCGTCGAATATCGACCTGAAGACGCTTTTCGACCGTCGAGCCTTCGAGACCCTGAACCGTGACGGTCACATCCCGTCGAAGGAAGACATTCAGAAGCTCCACAAGAACTTCTGTAATTACAACACCCTCTATCTTCACTTCGCCGACCGAGGAGAAGAGGACCTGCGAGAGGGAGAGCATGAAGCCTTCCTCTTGTATTGGTACAACAAATACATTTGTTGTACCAAGTCAAACAAGTGTTTGGTCGAGAACATGCCGGTAGCCGAAGCCCTGGCTAGTGGACACGTCCTGGCACTGAGTTCCAACATTCTCGCCCAACTTTTCCGTTGCCTGGCCGAGGCGACCCTCCACAAGGTCGACCCACACCAGAATGGTCCTCTCTGGGTCTTCCAACTCTGGTTG